GGTACTTCCTGCAGCAGAAGCCTCATTTTAAAGAGACTGATAGGACTACAACTAGAATATATACATCACCTGAAGGAGGCTTTTTTCCCCCTAGGAAGACAGCTTGTAGGGAAGTGGTCTCACCCACTCTCCTACTATGAAAGGGACAACCTGTTTTTACTCATTTCCCAAACAACTCCCAATTGACCACCCCATTCCTTGTTGCAGTTTTCTTCTTTTGCTGACATACAGACAGTAATTAGCTTTTTATTTGATATGTGCTTGGTAAATTGATCCTGGATACCTTCTATCCTGATCTTTTCTTTTAGTTACAGCTGGGGCCCTCCCTCTTCACTCACAACTGGAGTCTGAAGGGGTAGCTATCTTATCAGTGGAGAGGATTCATATTGGCCAAAGCCCTGTAAACCACAAAAAGCTGGATAGGCAGGAAGTAAGGAAACTCCAGACTTTTCTGCTGAGTTTACTGTTTGTTATTCTGCCAGACCCTGCAAGCTACTTCAAGGTTGGAATGTGGATTTCTCACTCCCTTGCAACTTGCTGGGTGTGTGCTACAGTACATTTCAAAATAGCTCATGTATTTAAAGTGAATTTGGATTTGCAGCCAACTATAATGTGCTTCATAATTAGCTACAGAGTGAATTTTTTTCTGATCTTCAAAATGACAAGTGAAATTGCAGAATTTGCTACTGTCTTTTATCCCTAAATAGCAAAGGGTTAAATAGACAATTGTCAGATAAACTGGCCACTAGCCAGATAAATTGTCAGACAGTATCTACGTTCAGGACTCAAGCTCATCCCATGTTCCCAAGACAGCAGAAGCTGGGAATGCTGCAAAAAAAACCACACTCAGCCCTAAGGGTAGGGAGTGCCTATAGCATTTCTCTGTGAGTAAGATGTTACTCAATGCAAATAAGGTATGGGGAGGGGTGTAAGCCCCAAAGCAGCAGGATTGGGCCCCAAAATGTAATCCTATTGATTTTAAGACTAAGGCACAGTAGCTTTTGAATTTTAAAAAAGAAAATCTGGTATTGGTAGTTTAACGTCTCCACTGAAATTTGGCTACAAACTGCCAGCCTGAAAACTGACTGAAGAGATTATGGTCCTGATCCTGCAGATTTGCTACAAGCAGAACTCTCAGTTTGAATGAGGAAACTGCAAACAGCACAGTTTTAGGATAAATTGCTAATTATTTTCTAGCTATACAGTAACAAAAACATCCTTGTATTTTCTGGACACACACCAGCTAAACACCTTGCTGATTTTAAAAACACCAACCTTTGCAAAAAAATATTCCTCAGATTGGAGTAAAGATATTCAATGTTTTGAAGAGAAACATTTCAAACATTTTGGACAAATGCATTTCATCTTTTTCTTAACATTAATTTCCGATTCACACATAGGTGCTAGAGGTTCTACCACATGCCCTGGTTTGAAGCAATTTCCATTATATACAGTAGAGGTTCTACCACATCCCCTGGTTTGAAGCAATTTCCATTATATACAGAGTTTACAGTTTGGTTCAATAGTCTCAGAGGGGTAGCTGTGTTAAGTCTCTAAAGTACTGCAGGACCATTTATTGTTTACATTTTTTCAGTTACAAACTAACAAAAAATACAGTTAGTATCATGAGCTTTTGTGGGCACAACCCAGTTCTTCAGATAACAAATATACAGAAAGATGCACAGAGGGTCAAATATAAAGCAGAAAAAGAGGGGAGAAGGGGATGAGGAAAAAAACGTGTCAATTAAAGTGACTGCTAAAGTTTGGTTCGATGGCTCTTAGCCCCACACTATCAAAATTATTCCAGCATGTCTGTATTCACATGAAGTTTAGACATGGCATCTCATAAAAATGGGACCAAAACAGCAGGACTAGGATTCTATGGTGACTCCACTGGGAGATCTCAAGAGTATTTTTAATCTGAACTCCTTGCAGGATTGTGGTCTTGTCCATAAAGAGATATGAAAACCAAGGATATGATGTTAAGAAGAAATGAAAGGATGTGGATGCTTAGACCATCAACAATAGCACTCTCAATCAAGTCCAAATTAAAATAAATTATGCCTAGACACTTTATGAAATTATGAAAATATAAAGAAATTAAATGAATATAAGTGTAAACCAAAAACCTCTCGTTATTCTGGTTCAAATCACGAGAAACTTAGGAATAACTCTCACATGGGATAAAACCCATGAAGGATGGACTAGAGTAAAGAAGTGTATTCTTCTACTAATTTGCAACTATATCTTATTAAATGTTATTAATTTGTTTTGATCTCTTGATGGCAGAAGAAAGCATTAAGAATTTAACACTGCCTGTGTATCTCAGAGTTGAAGTATAGCAGATTCCAAAAAGAATCGAAAGGATTCTACAACTGAATAATGTTATACACCACTGGTAAAATGTTGCATTATTACAGTTGTATATCAATTGAAAAATTCAAACAATAGGTATTATATTATTGCAATATGTGCAATAAAAATATTGGTTTGTAACAACAATTAATTATGTTTAATTTTGACATAAGGGCACATAAAAAAAGAACAAAAATTAATAAAATGAACAAACTAAGAACTGGAATATTGGATACATAATTCACAATAAATACCATTGGTTATCTCAGGGGAAAGGATAGCTCAGGGGTATGAGCATTGGCCTGCTAAATCCAGGGTTGTGAGTTCAATCCTTGCAGAGGCCATTTAGGGATCTGGGGCAAAAATTTGTCAGGGATGATACTTGGTCCTGCTATGAATATTATAGTGGATAACATATGTATACAACTCCCTTCCAATTCTTGGAGATAGATAATCTGTTTATTTATTATAGTGGATAACATATGTATATAAGAAGAGTTGCAAATGGTGAGTTGAGTAGTCTTACTTCAAAATGCCTTTTATGGAGGTACTTGATTGAATACAGTTTATTTATTCTTATTTGTTTGTTTATACCTGTTTAGTTCCTTTAGCATGTTACTGGGAAGAAATGAGAATGTGCTTCTAACAAAATGAGCAGATCAAATTCTACTCTGTTTCACCATAAAATAGCAAAAGCAACTCAGATGAAGTCAATGACATCATTAAATCAATGATAAATTTATAGAATTACTCCAGATCTGTTCAAGTGTAATTAAGGCCAGGTCTACCGTAGGGGATAAATTTGAATTAAGATACACAACTCCAGCTATGTTAATTGCGTAGCTGGAGTCAACACACCTTATTCAAACTTTGGTGCCATCCTGACAGTGGGAGGTCAACAGGAGAAGTGCTCTCCTCAACTTCCCTTACTCCTCAAGAGGAATAGGAGCACCAGCACCAACAGGGGCACTCAGCATTCTATTTAACAGGTCCTTAGTAGACCCACTAAATCAAACACCAGAAGATCAACCTCCAGAGTGTTGATTCAGGGGTAAATATAGACATGGTCTAAGAATAGGATTTTATTTCAGACAGGCAATAGCAATATATGATTGAAGTATAAAATATGCATGTTACTTTTCAGCCATGTGAATCACTAACCAAAAGGATTAACTGAAAAGCTCTTTTCTACATACATTTTGACCAGTCTAATAGTATTTGGTAGGGCCAAATTCCAACCCATAGTGAATCTAAGTTTTCAGAAAAGCAGAATTTGATAACTAGAACCGAGGCTAATAATCAGAACTGTGTTAAGAAATCCTTCTTGGGAATACAGGGGTCTAATCTGATAGAATCCGTTACAAACTCGAGGCCTTAAATTATAGTGGCTGGCAGAAGTTAGTAACAGATTTATGGTCTGATCTACATGTAAAAAAAGTTGTACAGGCACGACATTGTCTGTAAGAGCTGTAATTTTTCACTTTCATAGTTATGGTAGTAAAAGCCCTAGCATATCATATACAGTGCTTTGTATCGGCATAGTTGATTTCACTTCAACAAACAGGAACAAAATATACAGGTATATGCTCTTTTGTACCAGATTAATTGCATCTACCCTAAGGAAATTTTCCTGCTCTAACTATGCCATTTTGTAATGGTTCTACCTACTACCTAAGTCCTCCAGACACAGCTCCCATATGAAATACAAAAGTGATCCAAGTAATAATTAAAATTAGTCTTCACTTGCTCTCAAAGGACTCACAAAAATTACTCAGGAAAAAAAAAAAGATAGCAAGCTCTGATCAAATAAACTGTAAATAGTACAAACTGATGAATTGACTTCAAACCTAGTTCACAGCATTTACAATAAGCCAGAAGCGTTTATGAAAATATTGTATTAGGGTACCTCTACACAGTAGCATTATTGCGAAATAACTTATTCTGCATCTACACCGCAGGCAGTTATTTCGAAATAATGTCAAAATACTGTCAAGCTGGAGGACTTCTTACTCTGACTCCTGTAACCCCCATTGTACCAGAAGTAAGGGAAGTCGGAGGAAGAGTGCTTTCTTTCGAAATAAGTGCTGTGTAGACACTCCCAATTTCAAAATAAGCTATTTTGAAATAAACTGTGCAATTGACTAGCTCAATTTGTGTAGCTTATTTTGAGTTAAGCCCTGCTGTGTAGACACACCCTTTCTGAACTACCTCCACTCAACCCAAAGGTCAACTAAGAGTGATTTATTTTTAAAGGATAAACTTAAAAAACAACAAATGGTCTGGTAGCACTTTATAGACTAACAAAACAAAAGGGTTTTCTTCAGAGAAATTTCAGAAGAGAATATGAAGAATGGGGAAAGGAGATTAAAATGTTCTGAATTACACAGCATGCAAACAGTTTTCAAAACTGCTTTATTACATGTTGAACACAAAAAAGGGGACCCAGGTTTTGAAAAGTAAAAATGAACTCTAAACTAGCTGTTTAATTTTTGTCCACCTAGACAATCCACTTGTACTTGCTTTTCCTAACTGTTGAAAGCATCTGACAGAATGCTAAGAGCAACTCAATAAGCAGACCAAGGGCATTACAGGAGTCTTTATACTGTTGAAAGTGGAAACTTCAACACAAGCTGTCAACCCCGCCACTTCCCTGTTCTGGATACATACTGAGCCAGAACCCCACTACCTCAAGCCTGACTTTCTTACAGAAACAGACTAAAGGGCGTTTGGTAAATTTATAAATTCTGAACAATGCATCCAAACTTCAAACACAATAAGGCTACTTGATCCCCTTCCCAGAGTCGCAGAAACAAAGCAAGAGAAAATCACCCCCCTCCTCCCACACAAACACATTATAGGCATTGCACAGTTATGCAAAAGTGGATTTTTGTATTCCATTTTAGGATTACTAGAGAATGAACCTTCTCTTTGTATTATAGTTAACTTGGCTTTGCCCATAAACAACAAAATAGTGGGGGCATGGAAAAATTGCTAAGGGCTTTATCTGGCTTCTGAAGAGGCCTAGATGTCCACTCCAGAGGAAAGTAAAATGCAAGCCTGCAGAGTTAGAGATGATAACCACCATAAATGTTCTTGCATTTCACATAAAGCAATCAAAAAACACTAGTAAGGTGAAGGTTTCATATATTAACAGGTAAACGTCTAGGCCAAAAAAAAAAAATCTTGTCTGCACATGGAATAAGTTACTTATTAACAACTCCCTCTTCCTGCAGGGAGCTTTTATTCTCCTTTCTCCCCGCCCAAACATAGCAATCAAACAAACAACAAGAACTACTAAGGCGAAATGAAAACCAACAGGTAAAAAGTAGCAGCAAGTTCCAAACTTCAAAGTTCATTTGCATTGGGAAGGGGTTTGGTGCATCCACAGTGCCTGAAGGGGAACAGGGGGAGGCATTTATGGCAACTGCAGAGCTCGGTCTTTTCTCGGACTGAGCTGCTATCCCACCCTGCCCCCCCTGTGCGCTCAACCTAGCAGCGAGGTGTTTGCTCAGCCCGCGCTCGGCTGCACCTACCAGTATCCATCGGAGCTGAGGTCCTGGCCGTAGTTTTTCTGGACGTAGTACATTTTGTGGGTGGTGTGGCCGCTGGTGCCGCCACCCCCCACCGTATGGGAGTTCGCCTCGAAGCGCATATCCGGCCCGGACTCGGCTCTGACCATCCGGCCCAAGGTGTTGATCCGCGGGTGGGACCCTCCGTTCATGCTCATGGCGGCGGGCAGGGGCGCTGTGAGCGCACCGGGAAGGACGAAGCGCGCAGAGCAGAATCCTTCACGGCCAGGCCGGCTCCCGGCGGTCGGGGCTGCGGCGCCACCTGCGAGCAGCGGGCCCGGAGACAGGGGGCGCCAGGGGGGCCGGCGGCCCTAGCGGGAGGGTCTGCCCGGGAGGCGGACAGAGGCGCGGGGTGCAAAAGGCGCAGGTGTGCAGAGGGGGGCGGCTGCCTGCAGCGGGAGGGGAGGCCGAGGGCCTGCCAAGCAGAGGTAGCGAGGGGAGCAGAAGAAACGGGCCCGGGGACGCAACTGAGCGGAGAGGGTAAAGTAGCCCCTGCCCGGCGCGGGAGTCTGTCTCCGCGGTGCCCAGGTCGGAGCCGCTGGGGTAGCAGTGGCAGGGAGCCGGGCTGCGGCGGGTGGTGGTGAAGGAGGCGCGGTCCGGTGCCCTCCCCGCTGGCGCAGGACAGGCGCGGCCACACCTTGTGGGTGCTTTTTTAAACAACAAGCCTGGGCGTGGAGCCGCCGCTGTTCCCGCTCCCTCCCCCTGCTTTGCTCCTCAGCGTCTGGCTCGGGTTTACACCGCGTCTCGCTCCCACCTGAGCCCAGCCCTGCCCGGCAGCCTGCTCTCAGCGCGCGCGCACACAAGCTCCGCTGGGTTCTCCCTTTGCGGGGAGGGAGCAGCGGCCCCAGCTCCGCCCAACCCCCGGGAGGCAGGGAGAGGATCAGAGGCCGCGCAGGGGAGCGAAGCGCCCGTCTGACCGACTCCCCGCCGAGCCCCTTCTCCCCGCCAGCCGCCTGCTTTTGCAAGCACGTGCCTGTTTCTGTTCGCAGCTGGGAGCCACGGCTGCCCCCTGAGAGTTCTCTGGATGGGTTCTGTCGGGCGGTCCGCATGGCTTGTCCCCACCCCGGGCAGCAGCAGCTGGCCACTCGGGGGTGTATTCCGCGCTCACACCGGGCGCAGCGCTGTAGTAAACACAGCGGAGACCTGCGCTCCCAGGGGTTTCCGCTCCGGGGGCAGATTGTAGGGAGCTAGCTCCACAACCGTGCGCAAAGAGTGTGTGTAAGTCTCTCTCTCACACCTGCTTGAAAAGACTAGTAGCTTTTCTTGGGGAAATGGAGCAGGAGGGCTGAGGTATGGTCATAGCCCTTTCTAAGGTAGCTGGAGCAAATATAGGCAGCCAGAGAGAGAAGGCCAAATTGCACACGTATTGTTCCTCCCTGAGGGTGATTTTCCTGGTGGTCCCACTAAGGAGCTGGCATCAGTGCCTAATACAGGCATGTCCAAAGTCCGGCCTGCGGGCCAATTGCGGCCCGTGTTCCGGTTTAATACGGCCCCACAGGTAATTTGGCAATATCTATCTTTTATGGCCCCCAACGAATCCATAGGTATTGAGATGAATACATTGTAAAATCTCAGTTAGTGTCAGTTGGTCTAAATCAGTTATAAATATATTTGGACACAAGATGTATACTTGGTGTTATGTTCCTGTTCATATTTTTTTAACTTAAAAGTTGACAGACAACCTTTATTACCAATAATATGTAATGTACTTTACAATGTTCCTGACATATATTTCAGCTTCCTGGATTTTTTTTTCATCTGGCCTTCAGATATGAAAGGCAGAGTGATTTAACACCTGTTTAGATTTGTCATCCATGTGACGAAATGAAAAGTATGCCGTTTGCAATAAACTTTGCATAAAATAGTTAATTTGCATTTAATTTTAATGGTTCAAAGAATGTCAGGCAAAATGGTCAGTCCTCACGCTTGTTCACTTCATCAAATCTGGCCCTCTTTGAAAAAAGTTTGGGCACCCCTGGCCTAATAGGTACAAACTGTTCTAAGTAGCAGAACCAGTGGGGGGACACAGAGACAAAACTATCTGCATTAATCCAGCCACTGCAGGGATTAATTTGGCCTACCATTTATTTATTTAAAATATTTTTACCCTGCTTCTCTATTTAAAATATTTGAGATGGCTTAATTTTTTTTAAAGATTTACACACACACACACCCCTCTCTCCAAAGGGTGGGGCAGAAAAATCTGTTAAAACACCTAAACACCAATACAAGCATTGGTTAAAAAGGTGGCTTTGGCCTGGTGCAGAAACAGTGCCAATTCCATACCCTAAGGGCAAAGGCTGATTCCATGCCTACCCCAGAACATTTGGTTTATCAACGGTTTGCATTGTGCATTAGTAAATCAAACTAAATCACCATCTCATCACCATTGCCAATAAAGGTATGATTCTGGGAATGTTTCTCTGTTAATTGGAAAAGCTTTCCATGGTCCCAAATTTATTTCTGAAGTAGCACTGCATTTCAAAAGAAATGTTTGAGTTGAGGAGTTTGTGGACTCTGTGAGTGTGTTTCTCTCTGTTATATAGGGAGCTGGAGTGTGTGTCTGTGTGACTCTTGTATGGGGGAGCAGGGGTAACTTTAGCAGGAACGGGAGGGGGGAGGGATGTCTAACTGGGATGATTCACTGATTTCTAGTTTTTCCTGGTGGCTGCCATCGTCTGCTCCAGAAACTAAGATTTGTTTATATAAAAAAATTAACATCTGTATTCTAGGGCTGGTCTGAGCTGTACCATAAAATTTGTAGTTGACAAAGGTATTATAAGATGCTTCATGCCCCTCAGGCCAGTCTTGAAGATCAGTTTAGAACAATCTCAGGGTCATAAATTGGGCTAAACTCAGCACCTTCCACAGAGCCATTCTAGTTCCTAGAAATATTGGACATAGGAAGAGCATATTGGAGGCATGCCTGGAGAAAAGAGGAACAGATGGAGCACCTACATGGCCTGATTTTTAGAGATGTCAGATACCCATTTATCTCACAGAAGTCAATGGAGTTACTCTGGGAATACACCAGTATAAATTAACTCACAATGCAGCCCTAAGTACACAAGACATTGTAGTGTAAGAGAATTGTTCCTAACATAAGTTTCTTCTCTCAGTACTTAGTCTAAAGGCTATATACAATGTAAACGATGTAAATGCTACATACATAGACTGCTTATTGACTTAGTGAACAGTTGGAGTTCTCAGTGTTGTTGGGTTATTTCAGTGGTTCTTAAACTTTTTGGCCCATGGACCACCTGGCTCAATATAAACCTCCCTGCAGACTACCAGTTGCTAATGGAAACTCATAGTTAATTACATAATTACACCCTAGCCATTTTGCTAGTGCTGCAACTAGAGAGACCGGTTTAATTTAAATTATTAAACAGATTAAGCACTTAAATTAATATTTTATTTTATTTAAAATGAAGTTTTGATTAACTTTCTCATGTTAGTTTATGTCCAACACAAAAGGTTTCAAAGTTTATTTATGGCAGATGTGGGGAACTTTTTTGTGTTGGACCACTGACCCACAGAAAAATCAGTTGGGGACCACACAAGTGAGAAGCAAAAAAAAAAAAAAAAATCCTCCAAACCCCTCCTTCAACCCTCACTGATGTGGCCCCAACTGACACCCCTAATGCTTCTGGAACTCCAGCCCCATGGGGCAAGGCAAAGGGAATGGACAGGGAGGACTGAGGTTCAGGGCTTCTCATAGGCCAGAATTACTTATCTGGGATTCTGAAGTTAGTGGATTTTATGCCCCCCCCCCCTTAGGCTCTGAGGTGGGGACAAAAATGAGGGGTTTAGTGTGTGGGACAAGACTGCCAGTGAGTGGGATAGGGATGGGGTGCATGATCTGGGAGGGAGGTGGGGTACAGAAGGGGATGAGGGTGTGAGGTCTCGGTGGGAAGTAGGGTGCAGAAGCAGGCTGGGAGTAGGGTGTCTGGCCAGGAGTGAGGGTGCCAGAGCAGCCTGGGGGTAGGGTGTCTGGCTAGGGGCAGGGAGAGCCTGGGACTAGAGCTGGGGGGCTGAGGGGGTTCAGGGAGATGGGGGCAGCATGCCCCTGGGAATAGGGCTGGGGTCAAGGTGGCTAGGTGGGAAAAGGAGGGGCAGAGAGGCTAGGCGTGGCACAGCAAGGTTGGGGTGGGCGGGTAGGTGTCCAGCCCTGCAGGTGCAAAGCCTGAAGGGTCCCGATCCCCCACCTGCCTCCTGCGTGTGCAGGGTCCTGAGTCCCAGCGTCGCCTCCTCTCACCACTGCCAGACGTGGTGCAGCCCAACCTGCAACTGGAGAAGAGAGGGGCACCGGCCACTCACGTGCCACGAGGGCCCACCCAGCCGGGTCAAGCCCTGCGCAGCCTAACCTGCTGCCTGCCCCACAGGACCAACTGAGTGACATGCTGCTCTACCATGGCAGCAGCACTCCCCCACGTGTAGCTCCATGACCCGCGTGAGGTGGGGTGATTTTGCTTTCTTCACCTCCCTGCCTGCTGGCCAGAGCTGATGCTGCAGCCTTGCGGCTGTGTGCAAACTGCTTGGGGGTGGTGAGCTCCTGCTGCAGACCACTTGGGAGGTGACCATCGATCACTAGTGGTCCACAGACCACACTTTGAGAACCACTGGATTAAGAAAGGGTGTGACAGAGTTTGATGCACATGACTTGGTTGCAGTGTTCCTTGGAAGCTGTGTGCTCTCAGGAGAGATTCCAATGCCACGCAGCCGATTAGCAGTGCACACACAGCTAGA